GTGTGCCTTCGCGTTCTTCTCTCCGGTGGAGATGCCGGGAGAACCAGCAACTCTCAAGGAGGCTTTGGAGAGTAGTGATGCTGAGGAGTGGAAGAAGGCCATGGAGAGTGAGCTGAAGAGCATCGAGGAGAATGACACGTTTGAATTGGTGGAGCTACCGGAGGGGCGTACGGCGATAACGTCCAAGTGGCTCTTCAAAATCAAGTCGGTTGCCGACGGCAAGATCGAGCGCTACAAGTCTAGGCTTGTAGCCAAGGGGTACCAGCAGAAGGAGAAGGTGGATTTCAAGGAGCTGTTTGCCCCTGTGGTGAAGCCGACGACGCTGCGAACCCTATTCGCGGGAGCCGCCATCAAAGGATGGGTAGTAAAGCAAATGGACATCGTAACGGCATTCCTTAACGGCATCCTTGAGGAGGAGATTTTTATGGCGCAGCCAGAGGGGTTTGATGATGGTAGTGGCAGAGTGTGGAAGCTGAAGAAGGCCCTCTATGGGCTGAAGCAGGCCCCTAGGCAATGGTACATGAAGCTGCGCGAAGTGTTGGAGGGGATCGGCTTCACTCCCTCAACGGCCGATCACTCCTTGTTCATGCTTGGCGAGGGGGAGCAGAGGAGTTTCATGGTGGTTTATGTGGATGACATCCTCATTTTCTCACCCTCTTCTGACCTTGTGAAGGAGGTGATGCTGAAGCTTCAAGACAAGTTCAAGTGCAAGGCCCTTGGTGACGTGAGCTTCTACCTTGGGCTCCACATCGAACGAGATGTGGAGAAGCGGTGCATGCGGGTGCATCAACGAAAGTACCTGGAGGCATTGGCTGCCAACTTTGGGCAGAGTGAAGGCCATGTGGCTACACCCTTTCCCTCTGGGTTCAAGTGTGTGAAGGGACCAGAGGAGGAGAGCGTTGGTGAAGAGGAGAGGCGCCGATTTCACTCGTTGGTGGGCAGCCTCATGTATGCGGCGGTAAACACCCGACCGGACGTCGCGTTTGCTACCGGGCAGCTGGCTAGGGTTGTGCAATGCCCTAATGAGGAGCAGGTAGCAGGTGGAATGAGGGTGGCCAAGTATCTTGGCCAAACACCGACCGTTGGGCTGCAATACTCGGCGGCGGCACAAAGGCGCCAAAAGGGCGCGGATGGTGTTGAACCCGGGCGTTTGTTCCTCACCGCCTACTCGGATGCTTCATATGCATCAGAACCAGAGGACATGACAAGTGTGGGAGGCTTCATATGCTGTGTTGGTGGAGGCCCAACTGCTTTAGAGAGCAAGAAGCAGGTTGACCAAGCTTTGAGCTCGGTGGAGTCCGAGTACATGGCACTCTTCCGTGCCGTACGGGAGATTGTGTGGCAGCGGCGTTTGTAGGCTGAATTGGGGGAGGAGCAGCAAGGACCTACCCCACTGTACTGTGACAGCCAGGGTGCCATTGCTCTTGCTAAGAACCCTGTGTTGCATGGACTCACGAAGCACATGAGGGTGAAGTGGCATTGGACGAGGAGCATGGTAACCGCGGGTGAAGTTGAGTTGCGCTACGTGAAGACCACGGGGCAGCCGGCTGACATGATGACCAAGAGGCTGGTGGAGCAGCAGCATTGGAAGTGTTGCAAGCTGGCTGGGATGGCTCTGAACTGAGAGAGCAACATATCCTAAGGCCAAAAATCCGAGGGGGAGTTTGTTGGTGCAACCCTACGGTTTGCACTCGGCTTGTTGTCCGTGTGCGTGAATGTGTGTGTGTATGGAATGGTATGAGGGCATGGGATAATATATATTTCATGCTTATAATTGTGTGTGAATGTTGAGTCATGATGTCGAGTGTGTGTGTCGAGTCAATAGCGAGTTATCGCTAGACGCGTGTTACGCGGTCGTTTGTGTCTCGCGCGCGGTTTCTATTTTGTCGTGCGTGGTTTCTATTTTGTCCTGTGTCGAACGTTCGGCGTGTCGCAGGTGTGTGCAGCAGACCCATCAAGAACTCAAGGATGAGTTTGTGATGAAGAGCCCGAGCCTTGGTGTCAAGCCTCAAGTGATTTCGAAGCTTGCCAAAAGGGTACACCTCAAGATATTGAAGATAGTTACATTACTTTGTGTAGTGTAACATTTCACTTGGTGTAGGCCCTAGTGAAGGGTAGTTTCGAGACCCTTCGTGGTTGGGGACAGTGTGGCACTGTTCCACATCACTGTACCTCGGCTCTTGGGGTTTGTAGGAGCTGGGAGTCATTCCCAACTCGTAACTCTTCCTATCTTGTGTTCTAAGACTATAGTGGCTGCCATAGTACCGTTCGTTCAAACCGACGCTGTGTCGTCAATTATTTATCAAATCGTGCAATCTAAATTGCTAATTGTAGACGACGTGAATACGCTCCAGATCCAATTTGAATCAAGTCATTTGCAGCTGTGAGCAGAACGCTATCAACGTTTGAAGCCGCTGTGCAGAAATCCGTCTGTGCTCTCTAACTTTCGTTTTAGGCACATTCAAGCCTATTGTGACTATAACAGCCAGCGTAACTCCTGTGCAGCCATGGCTGTGGCGTAGATCTCAGCCTCACAACTGGAGTTGAGAACAGAAGACGAGCGTGTAGAACGCCAAGAAACTGAACCAGAGCCAAGGCTGAACATGTGACCCTGTGACGACCGCTGCGTAGCCTGGTCGTCAACCCAAGAAGCGTCTGAGTGCCCAGTGAGGACAACTGCGCTCCGCCCTCCAAGCACGAGCCCCATGCCCGATGTACTGCACAAGTAGCGCAGTACCCTCTTCGCAGCATCCATGTGCACCTTTCTGTGCCGACCAGGAGCCACGTAGCGAGCCAAAAGGCCAAGAGGGTACGCAAGGTCAGGTCGAGTGCAGGTCATCAGGTACATGAGGCAGCCCACTAGCTCTGGGTACGGGCCACTCGGCTCTACGGACTCGTCCGAAAGTGGAGCTGAGAGCGAGTGGCCTATAGCCAGAGGAGTGTGCTGTGGCGAGGACCAGGTGAAGCCGAAGCGCTGAAGGACCTGCTGCACCATGTGTGACTGAGTCAGTGTGATGGTGCGGCGTGCTCTGTCCCGGGTGATCTGCAAGCCAAGGTAGCTGCGCAGTTCACCCAGGTCTGTGCACGTTTGTCTCTTCTGCAGCTCCAAATTCACCAGGGCGAGAGCCTCAGTGTCAGCAGTGGCAAAGATCAAGTCGTCGACGTACACGAGGATGTAGAACGGCGGCAGCGACGTGTCGGTGCGCAGAAACAGCGACGGGTCAGCAGTCGACGGAGCAAACCCAAGAGCCGCAAGTGTAGTCCTCAGTGTGTCGTGCCACTCACGTGGTGCCTGGCGGAGACCGTAGACCGGCCGCCGGAGGCTCCACTGGGTACCAGGAGGGAACGACCCAGTGAAGCCTGGAGGGCGGCGCAGCCAGATCTCCTCGTGCAGGCTGCCCTGTAAGAAAGCTGTGCTGAAGTCAAGAGAGTGAAGCTCGTAGTCACGCTGATCGGCAACGTGCAGCAGCACCGAAGAGTGGTCATCTTTGGGGTGGGGGAGAAGGTCTGAAAGAAGTCTACTCCCTCTCGCTGTCTGAAACCTCGAGCAACGTAACGAGCCTTGAAGACAGGCGGAGAACCTGGCGGCCGCTTCACCCTGAAAATCCACATGCCACTGACGATGTTCGCCCCAGGAGGGGGAACCTCGTCGACGTAGGTGCCTGTGGACTTCCAGGATGCCATCTCTGCGTCCATTGCTGTCTGCCACTGAGAGGAGTACTCACCCGCGATCGCCTCAGCGTAAGAGCGCGTGGTCGGGATGTCTGGTGCATCCGGGTCTCCCTCAGGGGCAAGCAGCATGGACACGAGATGAGGCGCAGCGGCTGCAAGACACTCAAGGTCCTCCTGCCTGTCCTCAAGGACGTCCGTGCCAAGAGCACACTCACCCCCGACGGACGGAGGACAGACAGACTCAGACTCAGCAACAAGACTAGCGGCGTAGTCTAGACGACAGGCAGCAGCAAAGTCAACAAGCTCAGCGACTAAGGCAGACGCAGCAGCAGACTCAAAGGACGGGTCAGTGACAACTGTGGCTAGCAGACGCGTGACAGTAGAGTGAGCAGCAGGGGTGCGGTCAGACTCAGGCTCAGGAACGGTAGGCAGAGAAGACGCAGGAGGGGACGGCAGGGGAACACGCTGCGGAGGAGAGGAAGGACGACGGACTACGAGGTGGGTGCCGGTGATAGCCGGCTGACGCGAATGAGGAACACGACGACCAGGACGACCAGAACGGACAGGCGAGACAGGACGCGATGCAGGCTCACGACGCTCAGTAAGACCCCCTGTCTGCTCAGTGTAAGGAGAAGGAGCAGGCAGCGGTGAGCCAGGCTGTAACGGAAGACCAGGAGACAAAGGGAGACTAAGAACCTGGCGAGGTACAGAGTCAGACGGTGGCTGAGACGACGGAGACGGTGGAGTGAAGAACAGGCGCAGCTGTGCAGCGCCACCAGCACCAGCTGCTCCAGCACCCTCAGCAGCTCCAGCACCTCCAGCAGCTCCAGAACCCTCAGCGCCAGCTCGTCCAAGACCAGCTCCACCAGCAACAGCACCCCCAGAACCGGCACCTCCAGTCCCAGGGTCTCCAGTCTCAGTGTCTCCAGTAGCAGCACCCCCAGACCCAGGGTCTCCAGCAGGAGCACCCTCAGGCTCAGCACCTCCAGCCCCAGCAGCTCCAGTACCTCCAGTACGAGCACCTCCGGGACCAGCACCACTCCCAGCTCCAGTGACGCTAGCAGAAGTACCTCCAGCGGTAGAGCCCCGAGCTCCAAAAGCGCGACCCTGATGGCGACCGTACCAGTCGTGCAGCTGCTGTGAGTTGAGAGGCACACGCGGACGAAGGCGGCTACTCCAAGGAGACCGCGCAACAGCAGACTCAGAACCCTCAGCGCCAGCACCCGCAGCAGCTCCAGAACCTCCAGCGCCAGCACCCACAGCAGCTCCAGAACCTCCAGCGCCAGCATCCTCAGCAGCTCCAGAACCTCCAGCGCCAGCACCCGCAGCAGCTCCAGAACCTCCAGCAGAAACAACTCCAGTAGCAGAGACACCAGCACCAGCGCCTCCCGCAGCAGGGCCCCTAGCTCCAGCAGCGCGACCCTGACGGCCAACGTACCACTCACACAGCTGCTGTGGGGAGAGAGGGAGTCGACGACGAGAGTGAAGCGGCGAGGTACCAGCAGAGCGACTGCGGAGACGGCCGCCCCAGGGAGACTGCTCACCAGACGCCTCAGCGCCCCCAGGTGCAGCACCCCCAGAATCAGTACCCCCAGGCTCAGCACCCCCAAACTCCTCACGTCCAGGCTCAGCACCTCCAGTCTCCGCACCCCCAGGCTCCGCACCTCCAGGCTCCGCACCCCCAGGCTCAGCACCCCCAGGCTCCGCACCCCCAGGCTCAGCACCCCCAGGCTCCGCACCCCCAGGCTCAGCACCCCCAGAAGCAGTACCCCGAGCAGGACCATCCTCAGCAGGACCTGAGTCACTAGTGACCTCAACCGGCGCAGTCAAGGGAGGAAGGAGGGTCTACCTGAGACACACCTGAAGGAGCAGGACCGGGAGCGGGGAGGGGGTCTACCTGGGGAGCACCTGGAGCGAGGAAGAGCGGCGGGGGGGGGAGAGGGGCAGTGCGGTAGGGGAAGAGACGGTATAAGGGAACCGACTCGTCGAACGTGACGTCCTGGGAGGGGAAGACACGGCGCGAGGTGGGGTGGTAAAACTGCCAACCAGGCGCGTCAGGGACAAAGCCAAGGAAGACACAGGGAACAGCGCGGGCGGAGAGGTTGTCCGCGGTGGTATCGCGGACAAAGGCACGGAAACGCGACGCATCGCCAACCTTCCCCGTCCACAGCAGTGTGGGCGAGGTCTCCGGCAAGGAGACACGGGGCCAGAGGTTGAGCTGATGCGCGGCGTACCGGACCGCAAACGGCCACGGAAAATGGGGGGCAGCCGCATGGATCATGGAGGTACGAGCGACCTCCATGACTAAGCCAATGCGGCGTTCAGCAAACCCATTCTGCTGCGGAGAGGCCGGAAGCGTGAACGTCTGGCGGATGCCGTTCTCCGCACAGAAGGCTGCCAAGAGGTCGGAGGAAAACTCCCCACCTCTGTCAGAGTGCAGACGCAGGACGGGAAAGTCCGACTGGAACCGCTCGCGGAGCTGGAGACGAGCAGCGCGGATCCAAGGGATCAAAACATCAGGGACCTCACCCTTGGTGCGCAAGGGGAAGACCGTGGTGTAGCACGTGTTGTCGTCGACGACCAGCAGGAAGTACCGCTCGTGGCCCTGTCCACGGACGCGGGCTGGGCCCCACACGTCCAGGTGGAGAGTCTGCAGGGGTGCCTCTATGGGAGGGAACGAGTAGGAGTGAGGAGCGGCGCGCTGCCGCCCCTCGACACAGGGAAGATAGGGAGGAGCAGGCGAGGGTGGGAGGGGAGGGAGAACCCTGGGAAGACCAGAGACAAGGACACGGCGGTGCATGCTGCGAAGGCGCTGCACCGAGGGGTGACCAAGGCGGTGGTGCCAAAGGAGGGTCTGGTGCGACAAGGCGCGACACGAGCAGGGGGCCGACAACTGACCTGACGCAGACGCAGATGCAGCTACCTTAGGGGACTCAGTGGTCAGTGTGTACAGGCCCGACCCCAGCTGTCGAGTGAAGGTAGCCAGGTGACGACCCGTCTGAGCACACGTGCAGTGTGTCACATGCTCGTAGGCAGGGGTGACCCGGTGAACACCCGCGTCCTGGAGCGCAGAACCCGCCACCAAGTTCGTAGAGAACGAGGGGAGGTAAAGACCCGACAGTGTGCCGGACGGGACAGCAGGACAAGGGAGGACAGTGGAGGAGGTCGCACGGACTGGACCCCCAGAAGGGTCTGCCAGGGAGACTGGAACCGGCCGACTGAGCGGCGTGAGGGTGGTGCTGTCGCGAAAGAAGGAGCGAGAAGCACCAGAGTCAAGTGTGAAGGTGTACAAGGCCTCAGCAGGCGCAGTACCAGAGAGAGCAGACTCACCAGCACCTGAAGTAGCAGTCTCACCAGTACCTAGAGCAGGAGACACACTAGCCCCTAGAGCAGCAGCCTCACCAGCACCTAGAGCAGCAGGCTCTATACCTGGGTCAGGCGGTACGCACAGGGAACAGGCACGGTCAACACTAGTAGGCAATGCATACATGGCAGTGAGAATAGCATCATAGTCAAGAGCATAGATATCTACCCCCTGTCCAAGCAGCTCCAGCCAGGTGGGGAGCTCAGCCTCGTCGCCAAACTCGGTACGCCAAGCGTCACTCAAACGGGCGAAGCAGCGGGACTGTGTGTGACTAAGCGTCCCGCAAGCCTGACCAGTCCGAACACCTGTGCGAATGACGTACGGGCAGCGAACGGTACTCAAAGACCCTCTACTCTGAGCGTACCACTCACGAAGCTGCTGGGGCGTGAGAGACTCGCGCGGACGTTGCTGGAGTTGCATCTGGCCACCGCCAGTAGCAGCAGTAGCAGTAGTAGCCGCAGTAGCAGCAGTAACAGCAGTAGCAGCAATAGCAGCAGTAGCAGTGCGGCCACCCCTACAACCCCAACTAGCGTACCACTCACGAAGCTGCTGGGGCGTGAGGGACTCGCGCGGACGTCGCTGGAGCTGCATCTAGCCACCGCCAGTAGCAGCAGTAGCAGTAGTAGCCGCAGTAGCAGCAGTAACAGCAGTAGCAGCGCGGCCACCCCTACAACCCCAACTAGCGTACCACTCACGAAGCTGCTGGGGCGTGAGGGACTCACGCGGACGTCGCTGGAGCTGCATCTGGCCAACGCCAGTAGCAGCAGCAGCGCGGGCAGGGCAGGTGCGGCAGGCAGGTGCGGCAGGTGCGGCAGGTGCGGCAGGCAGGCAGGCAGGCGGGCAGGCAGGCAGGCAGGTAGGCAGGCAGGTGCTCACCAGTGGTGGGAAGGGCCGGCTCTCGGCGGGCGGCGGCAGGGTAGGCGCACGACGGTGGCGACGGTGGGGCTGCAGTAGCAGCTGCAGAGTAGGGCCGCGGCAGCTGCAGGGTGGGGCCGCGTCAGCGGCAGGTCAGGGCCGCGTCAGCTGCAGGGCTGGCGGAGCCGCGTCAGCGTCCAGGCGGGGCCGCGTCAGCGGCAGGGCGCGGCCGCGGCAACTGCAGGGCGGGGTCGCGCCAGCGGCAGGTCGGGGCCGCGTCAACTGCAGGGCTGGCGGGGCCGCGTCGGCGTCAGGGCGCGGCCGCGTCAGCTGCAGGGCTGGCTAGGCCGCGTCAGCAGTAGGGCGCGGCCGCGTCAGCTGCAGGGCTGGCGGGGCCGCGTCAGAAGCAGGGCGGGGCCACGCCAGCAGCAGGGCGGGCCGCGATCGCGGCCTGACGGAGCCGCGACAGCGATTTGGCGGGGCCGCGTCGGCGGCAGGGCGGGGCCTCGACCGCGGCAGGATGGGGCCGCGTCAGCGGCAAGGCGAGGCCGCGACCGCGGCCTGACGGGGCCGCGACAGTGACCTGACGGGGCCGCGCTCTGGCCTGACGGGCCTGCAGAGGCTGCGCGCGGGCGGCGAGGGCCTGCAGGGGCAGCGCGCGGTCGGGCAGAGGCTGCGCGCGGGCGGCGAGGGCCTGTAGGGGCGGCGCGCGGTCGGGTAGAGGCCGCGCGCGGGCGGCAAGGGCCTGCAGGGGCAGCGCGCCGGCCTGACGGGCCTGCAGGGGCGGCTCGCGGGCCTGACGGGCCTGCAGGGGGCGGCTCGGGGGCCTGACGGGCCTGTAGGGGCTGCTCGGGGGCCTGGCGGGCCTGCAGGGGCGGCTCGGGGGCCTGACGGGCCTGTAGGGGCGGCTCGTGGGCCTTACTAGCCTGCAGGGGCGGCGTACTGGCCTAGGGCAGCAGGAGGCAGCGCGAGGGCTGCAGGACGGCGCGCGCAGCGCAGCACGTCACGAGGCAAGGCAGGCAGGCAGGCAGGCGCAGGACAACACGTGGGGTAGCGCGGTAACCGCAACGGTAGGTGGGCCCGAAAAAAAAAAAAAACGGTCCTACGGACCTAGTGCTCTGAAACCATGATAGAATCTAGCAGCAGGAATGATTGAACTATGAAAGAGTTGGGTACAAATATGAAACCCTAAAGTGGGCTGTACCCCATATTGGCTACCCCACTACAGCCTAAACATATATAGCAGATATAACATTTGACACTTACCCTTGACACTGAGGGCCACCCGATCGCGTTTGAGTCCTAGCTCGAGGACCTCCACCTGTACTTGCAGAGCGTTACTAGGGACGATGTCTCACTGTATGAGCATACCTCGGGGGTCCCTCGCTACCCCTTCTGAGTCGGCTGCCCGCGTAGCTCGTTCTCAGTGGTTCTCTCGCGACACTACCGCCGCCCTTGCTGTCCGCAACCACCTCCCACTAGACCAGGGGCCCCATTTTCGCCAGTAATAGATGGCCAAAGACTTATACGACACTGTTGTCAAGCGGTACTCCTCCCCCCCGTCTGCCACCCTAGGCCGTCTTCTACTGCCGTATTTCTTTCATGAGTTGTCCAAATTCTCCACAGACGCTGACCTTGTGACTCACCTCCGCTCCCTTGACACTCGCTACTGTGCTGCCCTCAAGCCAGACTTTCTGGCTAAGAACCCGCCCCCGATGTACGTCACTCTCTACTTCCTCTCTACTTCGTCCTCCCTTCATCAAAGATCAGGTTCTTTTGGACACACGCAACTTGGACTTGTCTGACGTCCCGTCCAAGCTCCGGCCTCGCTTCTATGGTCCCTTTCACGTTGAGGCTATGGTGAGACCCATTACATTCCGCTTGCACTTACAACGCTTTCCATGTTCAGCTACTGAAGCCCTACAAGGACCCGAACCGATAGTACCAGAAATGCCAGCTACCGCCACCGCCTCCTTTTCTCGTACATGACGAACCAGAGTATGAGGTGGAACGTGTACTCGCTCATCAGCGCAGACGCGGCAACACGCTCGAGTTCCGCATCCGCTGGAAGGGATATGACTCGTCGGAGGATAGTTGGGTGATAGAAGCTGGTATGGGCAACGCACACCATCCTCTCAAATATTATCTTGTCAAACAGGGAATTTCTCATGCCACCAAGTTTTTAGGGGGGGAAGTGTGAGAGTACAACGCCTGTGCTCACCCATATTTTCATAATCTAGCTTATTTCTATCTTCTTTTAACTCTTTTATTGCTTACTATGTAAATTATAGTTTTAACACAGTAATAGGTTGCATGCACCAAATTCTGTGGTGTTTCGGTTATTCCCGTGTGACTTTGTGTTCGCGTGATTTCGGCCGAATCCCCTCTGCCAATTACTTAATGGTCCCGTTCGTGAGGTTCGTACCTTCTAGTAACACCTGGGTTACGAGC